TGATCATCGTTCCACGGCATTAGGGTTTTGAAATCGTCGAATTAGGGAAGTTCGACCTTAAGTTCGCGACGCGGTAACCATTTTCTGCTCTGTACGACATTACTATCCGGTAATCGTTGTATCCTGCGTGGTTGTTATTCCATTGACCCTAGTTAGGACCAAACCCTAATCTACAAGTGCCGCGCATGCATCATGGCGCTGCATGCAGAGCTCTTGTGTTTGAGAGGAATCTGAGGCTGAGGCGCTTTGCAGCAAAGGCTGGTTTCCGTGAGCTAGGGGGAAGTGCGGCAATCCCTCCCCTTCCCACCTCTGGCTCTCGCTGTTAAGGTTGGGATTTTCATACCTTTTAATGCAGCTCCTTTGGAGCTGGGAGAATCCATCTTCACAGTTGCGCAGCGCTGGCGGGCGGGATGGAGTCGTTTCTGAACATTACAGAGCACCTGCTCGACAAAAAGCTGGGCAGGAGCTCCGGACGAGGCCGGGACAGTCCCGGGTCAAATGCGGGGTCAGCTTCTCGGAGATACTCGAATCAGAGTGACTTCCCAGACCAGCCAAGTCCCAGTTCGCATGGCCACAGTAAAGAGGCCAACCCAGCCCTGAAGAAGAAGTTCCTTAAGCGGCTGGCGATAGCCTTACATGCGTATGGCAACTCAAGCACGGTGAGTGCCTTTGATGGAATCCCGGTGTCTTCTTTTGCAAGTGTCTCTATAACATGACATGTCTCTGGGAAGCCACCACTCTGTCTTAGTCTCAGGCTTTGATTGACCACTTGAGAGCACCACCTTTCAATGCCCTCGTTTTCTGGCGGCACTTCTTACCTTTCCAATTGGCCCCAACCTGGGACAGTATACAGCCTTGTGCCCCTTCTTACTCCCTTTCCAATGATCATATGTGGATTCAGAAGATACTGTAAATCAAAAGAGACCTTGTCTTTCACTTCCAGGGTCCTGAGAATTGGCATCTCTCACTGTGTTCTGAAATTCTTCTCCTCCGTTTGGCACTTCGAGTAATCAATCTCCCTGAACTGCTGGCATCGCATCAACAATGTTCCCTGACCGCCGTCTTTCTGCTCCCCCTGCAGCGCACAGAGTACCTGGTCGAGAAGGCTAGCCGGCAGCTAAACGTGGCGGCCAGCGTCGCAGTCTTCCCCACCGTCATTCTTCTCTCCTTCCAATCAGATGACCGGGATCCGGCCAAACCTGAAACGCACCTTCTGACTGTTGAACCGGGCTTGAACGTTGACAAACTGGGGCGGGCCGATGAGCTGGCTAACCGGGTGGGCATGGAGCACATGCCTCTGCTGGTGAGTTACCAAGGGGCGGGTTAGGATAACATAGGGCGCTTGAAACGCTGGCGGCCACATCTGATTTACAAGCGCCGTTGAGCTCCAAAGCCTTCTAAAGAAGGCACCCTCATAAAGGCTGTCCACAGAATGTTGCAGTTGGGTGTTTAAGGCAGCTCTGTTATCAAACGCGGCTTTGGTTTCGATTCATGTTGCTAGAGGATTCAAATGCCGAGGAAGAGGCGGATGCTGTGTGCCTTCTGAGCAGCTCTTGGGTCACTGTTCTGACTTCTTCTCCTGACATACTGCCAGCCGTACGATCTCGACTTGCTCATTCCACAGCTTTCCTTCGCGACGCCAAAGCTCGTCCATACTTTCCCTCCAGGTCGGTTACTGGCGGCTACGGGCTATTGCCACGGCCCCCCCGCAGTTCGGGGAGATCAAGCGGCTCCTCAGCTTTGGCGTGGCGGGTTGTACATCGGCCGTGCTCTTCTTCAATGGTGGGCTGGATGATCCTCTTACTAAACTTGGTGGCTCGAAAAGCAGAATATCAAGGAGTGTGTGAGCCGAGGTGCACAGATCCGGGCTGGCAGAAGAAGGCTCACGTGGGACTTTGTGAGGATTGCATTAAACGGCATGGGCATAGATCCGTCTTTTGCCAGTCAGTGAAGATGTTCGCATCAAGCGCTTCAAAAGGCAGTCAAAATATCCGATTGATGGGGGTTGGGACGCACCCCGAAGCAAGGGGGCCCGACCTCTACCTGCTTTCCTTCAAGCGCTTCTAAGACCAGTTCTCGCAATGACCAACATTGTCAAGGGTCGATATGGTTTGAAAGCCCCACTCCCAGAGCTGGCAAGAAAGGCCTAGTGCTGCTTATCAATGGGGTAACCCCCAACTTCGGCGCCCTCTACAGTGCGCAATGATGGTAGCAACCGTGAAAGCGTCGTTTCTTTGGTCCTGTCTTCTCGACGTCATATGATGTCTTGATTCAAGGCATCGCTGGCTTGTCGAACTCTTCGGTTGACACTTGTAAGAACCATTGGCCTTGACATCTCCTGGTTAAAGTAGTCGGATGCGTGCATCCGAACTGATTTGTCGTGCTCGCGACCAGCTCTTAAGCTCCGCAGGACCGTTCAAAAAGCTGGTGTGAAGGCTCCTGAAAACTTCTACGTCTGAATTTTACTACGAGGGCTTACTCTCTCCTTACTTCCCGGGGCAGGTACCCTGAACAGCGGCGCCAAACTCTCCACAGGACCGATCAAGGGCCTCTTCTGATGACCCTTCGGGTTTCTCGTGAATTCTCAAGGCCTGATGTTTTTAATCGCTCACTCTTGCCCCATTCCTCCCGGGCAGGCAACCTGTACAGCGGCGCCCTGGCGGCCCTCCTGGGCCTGGTCGCCGGGCTGTTCGACCTGGTCGCCTCGCGCAGTAACGTCTTCGCCAACGTGACCACGTTCCTCTCGGCGACCTGCGTGGCGCTCCTCTCGCGCCTGCTTGCGCTGTACCTGCCCGCGCGCTTCGACCTCTGCTTCTTCTCCATGACGCTCGGCTCGCTCGTCTGGCTGCTCCCCGGGCTGTCGCTCACGGTCGGGGTCTCGGAGCTGACGTCAGGGGCCAAGGTGCGTGGCCGCTTCTTAGTCGGACCTTTCCGTGTGTCCGGAAATTCGGTCAAAAGCTTAGGTGCGATACGAGGCGCCGCCGAAGGTGGTGCTCGTTGAAGCGACGGTCATGCTTGGCAGCCCTCGTTTCACGAATGCTTCCCGCAACTTCGATGACGATTTTTGTCGTTTATCTGCTGGTGACTGACAAGATCGATCAGCTTGTGGCCCTTTTGACTGCGCTCGAAAGAGGTTTATCAGGCACATCATACAATCAGAGATACACCGAGGTTGTGAACCGCACGCATGTGCGGGATGCCTCTAGAAAATCCCAACGTCTGTTCTGGACGAAAAGGCGCCAGCGCTCTTTTCCGAATTCTGAAAACTCCACAGGTCGCCTGCACCGTTTACGAGCCACGTCCTTTACCCGTGAATCTGGGCTGACAATGAGCTCTCACTCTTTCCAAAGAAAGAGTGCGCACAAAACTACATCTGGATCTGCGACACGTGTCCTCACAAGTGCCCCTTCACACGTCCCAGGTGAGCGGGTCGGCCCGCGTGATGGGCGCGCTGTTCGAGGCGCTCCAGTTGGGCTTCGGCATGGAGACGGCGCAGGGCCTCGTCTGGTGGGCACCACGTGTCAAGCGCGCGTGCAACGCGGCCACGCAACCCGTCTGGCTGCAGCTTATCCTGTGAGGCCAAATTTGGTACTTCTCAGCCGTCCGAACCATCAAACGTTTCGCTTTGTGCGTCCCTATGCTTGTGAGGTGGGGACGAATGTCGAGGGACGAATCGTTTGTGATGCAAGGTTCTGACATGAAGCGGGGCGGATCCGTCCCATTTGACGGGAGAGGATTTCACATGCAGATTCAATCTGACGGCCGTATTGCTTCACTGAGCATCTCCCTTTGAGGCGTCCTTAGAGTCTCTGATTGCGAATTTATTGTCCGATCAATCGCGCGAATCTTGGCGTTACTTGTCCTTAACGACGAATAATCACGAATGTCCGATGTCCTTAAACAAGTCAGAAGGGTCTGCTGATTGGTCAAGCGGTGGAAAAGACTTCTGTCTTATGTACTACCGCGCCTTGAAGCACGCAGTCAGAAATTATGCTGGAGTGGCGTCCCTTTCCCTCCCATGAGCGTTATGTGGAAGGAGAATTGCAGGTCATAGGTGTTGCACCCGTCAATCTTTTGGCCGCGTCTTCATACGCAGGACAAAAGCCTCTGCCGCCAGCCGTTGCTGACCGCCCTCTCCTTCGTCACCCTCACCTGGTCACGTCACACCCCTCACGCCCCCGAATTAAAGTCTTCCTTCGTCCGTAAAAGCGCTTTAGACTCGTTTTCTCAGAAGCCCACACTTACCCTTCTGCTGATACTGAACTCGGCCCGTCTCCCTTCTTCCCTGGACTCATCTATCGTGTGGAACGCACCAGTTTCCGTTTCCTGCACACACCTTCCGGTCTCCTCCTGTCGTTCGACTCGTCCCGCTACCCGCTTCCGTTCCGCCGGTTCGTGCTGTGCTCCGTCGCGGCTCAACGCACCACCACTTCCGTTCCTATCACACTTTTCTCTCACACCTCATTTCCGCTCCTTCCGCTCACAACGTTCCGCTCCCCCCTTCCGATTCCGCAGGTTCCTGCTGTATTCCGTTGCGTCCAACGCGCTGCTCCAGGCGCGGTGGGACCAGTGGCCCGGCATGATCCTGACCAGCGCCGTCGGCTTCTTCGTCTCGACCGCCGCGTCCGCCGTGTTTGCCGCCAACGTGCTGGCGTCCGTTGCGATCGGGCTGACGGGAACCCTCTACTCGCGCTACTCCGGCCACCTGCCAGTGACCATGGTGGGCCCTAATGTTCTCGCCCTGGTGCTTTTTACTTGGTATCGTTACGTGTTTGGAAAAAAGATGCTTTCATGGGTGTCTCAGATTCGCAGCGTTCGAACGACTACATCAGGTCCGACTGTGAATTCTGACGTCCGCTTGTGATTCGATGGTCGTAGGTCCACAAGCGCCCCACCGTAAGCTTTCAGTGCCGTCCTGTCAAAACCTTAGGTGCTGACTTTGTTGCCAGCAATCACTTCCCATTCCGGCTGAAGTGCCCCTCGGAATCATTAGCAGAGGCTGCACATCAAGCAGCCCCAGGAAAGCCTACTACCCCAATCGTCCTTCCTCCATACGCTTGTCAGGTAAGCGCTCCTGAGATCATTGGATAGACGCTCTGTTCGACCCCCTTGGAACCTTCCTGCTAGTCAATTCTGGCGAGACCCGCCTACAAAGGACTCACGTAAAATCAAAGCTGGGTATCCGGAGACCCTCTACGGCAAGTCGGCCTTGGTAGTTAAACCCGCAATTGTTCAAGCCTTTGCATCGACAACTCACCAAGAACCAAGGAACACCCGCTACTACCCCTCCGGAACGTCACTACATTCCCCCCAAAAAGCCGCTGTCCCTGCAGACCCTATCCGGCATCCTGATCCTAGTCCCGGGCGGGTTAGGCGTGCGGGGGAGCGCCGCGTTGTTGGAGCACGACCTGCTGAGCGGGGTGGGGTTCACCATGGACATGCTGGTCGTCAGTCTCAGCATAACCCTGGGTCTGCTCATCGCCAAGATCGTCCTGCCTTCCGGGTTCTTCGGCTCCAGCCGTCTGCCCCACGAGGACCAGATGTCTCTAGCGGCGCAGATGGAGGACGACCGGGACGAGGGGACGGAGGGGGACGAGGAGGACATGGCGATATGAGGACACGTGTACGGCTGAGATGACGAGTGTGAGGACAACGATTGCAGAGCGAGATCAAGAGCGATTGCGGCAAGCGCTGCGGCTTGCTGTGTTTGTTTTGATAGGAACAGAACTGGACAGCCTGTAACATGCGGGTCAAACCGACGCGATAGATTAGGCTGAAAGCAAAGCTTTCCGAGTTGACGGTGAGAGTTAGTCCAAAATTGGGCGCATGTACCATGCAATGCATTTAATCAAGCAAATAGAAGATTTCCACATGCATAGACGGCAACTTCTGCAGCAGCTTAGTGTCGATTAGAAGCATTGGAAGAGCCGTAATGATAGACCATTATAGCAACGGGTTAACCTCCCAGCGAGATCGGAAGTAGGCGACTCATCAATGCGGCTCAACAGCACAGCGTTCATGAGTTGAACCAGAGTCCCCGTGTAATTTAGGCATAGACGTCTTAGCTTCACCGCATGTATGATTCTTCAAAGCAGATGAGTAGCAGCATATCAAAGCGGATTAGGTGAGTGAGAGTTCCTTTAGAAAGTCCTTAACCTGAAACTTGAGCCTGAGTGCGGACCGACGGTCATGTCTGTGATCATTCGACTCCGATCTGCATGAACATGATCCGGTATGTTCGGATTTACCAATCATTGCATGTCAGATGCATGAATCGCGGACACAACCGTCGATCTACTTTTCAAATGCTGCAATGCATGCAGCGCCGCCGCATGCATTAACCGCACATGCATGATCCGCGCGGCACCATCCGACGCGAGCTAGACCGTCAGAAGATATTGCTCCGAAAACAAAGTTAATTCACGCGTGACTGTCTCTGGACATCTTTCTGGTTCGCTTCTTAATGACGTGATTGTGTAATCTTCAAAACCCCGGGGTAATGCAACATAATATATGATCGATAACCCTAGCTGAGTCCAACAATTAAGCATGTTGAATGGCGAAACATATACTGCATGGAAATGCACTTAAGCCTAGTATCTCGAGCTCGAACGAAACGTGGGCAATCCCGCTAAAGGCCGATCAATACGTGAGTCTGCAAGCAAGCTATTCGCACTATTCTGATTTATCCAAAACAAAGAAGCACCAAACACGTCTGTTTCCAATTCAAACTACACAAATTCAAGCGGACGCGAATGCGCAGCTTTCTACTTAGTCCGTCTATGATAAACTATAGGGTTCGAGTACGCAACTATTCGTTATCTAGGGAATCTTGCAAAATTGGCTGATTCTACCGCACTCACCCGGCGACTAGCTCGCAATGTACATTGAATGTCGCCTCGCTTCCCCGATTCAGGGACGCACTAATCTTCTCATACAATCTGTGTCGGTCTTCCCACACGTACCAATCTAGGGCAATCAAATTCCGCATCTTTCTACCTCTCTGCACCTTTTAACCTTAAGAACATCGACGACAACCCGCAGCGCCGTCAATGGCGGCCGTCCGAACACACACTTTCCGGCGGCTCCGACTGTGCGTGACGTCACCGAGCGGCGCCGATGACGTACCGCCCTTGCAGCTGTTCGAACATGTCGATCGTCATGCTCTGCGAAAGAGACCGTGTCCTGTCAGAACTCAGCAAGACTGAGCTACAACTGGACTCGCAAAGGGCCGATGCCTTTCCTCCGCATACGGCTGAGCTCAAAGCGGTTGGATCGGTTGGCAAACTTGCCGCGAGAAAGATTAACCACTGCACGTCCTGCCATTCGCTCATCCAACTTGCCGGCAACAAGCTTCACCCTGTTGCCTCGCCTATCAACCAAGGGGAAGGACATCAACTTGGAAGACCCCAAGCCCATTCAACTCAATTGGCACAGCGTAGAATAAGTGGGCACTACCACCGGCCAGCGCGCGGCTGCGGCACTCACGTCGATGTCATACTTGTTTTGCCAACCCCAATCCTTCCGTGCCAGCGAGTCGTCGATCGTGCGCGGCCATGTCGTCGCAATCGCCTGCATCATGAAGATGACCGGACGGTTGGAAGCAGCATCTTCGAGCATTTCGAACTAGTTGCGCTGTTGAAACTCTCGAGTAACGGATGTCCATGACGTGCGTTGCCCTAGCAATTCTTCACCCCTCGGGTAAGGATGACCAGGTAAAGCATTCGCCCTCTCAGAGCTTAGAAACGAGGTCCAAAGCTTGACCAAGGCGTTCCACTAGTGAATACGGGGCGCTGCAAACCGACGGGGGCCGTTGAAACCAGCCTGCAGTCACGAGCCACTCGTTCTCGTTCTCGTTCTCAGGCCCCCTGTTCGTTCTCTTCATTAATGTCAAAAGCACCCAAGGTGACGGCTTCGCTATTTCTAGGACCTGGTCCTCTGATCTCGATATCAACTCGGGATTTGCAGTGCCGCGTTCTAGAGGCGTGCTAGAGGGTACGCGGCTGATTTCACACCTGTCGAAAGTCGGGCTCGTAGACGATGCGGAAGTCGGGGCGCCGCTTGCGGATGGCGGCCGCGAGGTCGCTCGGCGTGAAGCTCATGCCGGTCACGTTGTACACGGCCTGCGGGGGTTTGGAGGTTTGGACGTTTGGAGATCCTGCTGTTTGCAGCGCTCGAATTTCGACAGATGAGATGAAAGGAAGAAGGGCGCTTCCGAGCACGTAGCATGCGGTCAACTGCAGTCTTTCTCCTTCGCCCCACGAACTCTGAATGACCTTTTATATGAGATCGATCTCCGGTCCCGCCTTTTGTGCCTTCGAGGTTTTTTGGGGGGGGAAGGATAAATAAAGCATCCTGTGTCAATCTCACAGACGATTACAGGCTGTCTGGGCTTCAGATAATTGCTTTCGATACATTCAAGGGAGGCTTTCGCCCCCTTACTTCGGAGTCTTAATCGTGTTCGCTTAGTGCCTCACCTGCGTCAACTTCTCTCGAGGCGCCATCATCAAGTTGACCGTTGCCTGCAGGGGAGTAGAATCGACTAGATTACGAAAAAGCAATCCGGTCCGCGAAGGAAAGCTCCCCAAGGTCAACAGGGCCTTGAGATGGATATCTCAAAGATTCTGTCAAAAGCGAAAGTAAGACTCTGGAACTTGTGGCAGATGACGCCTTTTCCTTTGTCTTCCATGTTTTCCTGATCCTCTCCCATGTCAGCAGTCTTCAATACTGGCCTCGCATTCTCTCCGCTATGTCCCGTGCTCGTTGAACAACCTTCGGATGCTTTCCCGGCTCACCTCGAGGCAGTCAGGCATGTACATCATGGGCAGCACCTGCTTCTCGTCCTGCAAACGGAGAAGGAAAAACCTCTTCAAGAAACTCGTTGAACATGACGATTTGGGACATGGCGAGTTATAACGACTAATTTACTTCCATTATGAGGTCAGACCGCGCGACTCTGCTTTTACCATACTACCAACATCCCAATTTGCCTTTCCTAAAATGACGGCCAGACCGGGCTTGAGAGGCCGGTGACCCATCCCGTCTCATTGTGGGCACGCTATCACCAGACGAGACAGCGGCTCCAAAAGCAATCCCATGAAAGAAGGCAAAAGCCAACACGCAGTAAAAGCGGCTTAAGAAGACAAATAGAAAGAGAAAGTCGTGGAGCGGCTCACCAGGAAGCACCGGTATGTACCGTGCCTGAGCGCGTCGTGAAAGATCTCGACTGCATAATCGGTCGTTCCCCCGCCCTGCGAAAAAACAGAATGTGAGAATCTTGAAGTGCTCATAAGGTAAGGGTGAGATATGTCTGCCCTGCATGTCGAACTAGAGCAGCCCCCCGAACGGCTGCCTCTCGCGCGATACGGTTGGGCAGAGCTGCGTTGGCTCGTACTTCCACATTGAACACGAAATTGCTTCTCGCCCGTTCCAAAACAACGACTTCAAATCCGGTAAGCACTCAGCCCGTCCACTTTATCTCTTCGAATCACAGTCACCTTCGCAAAACCTTCGCAACAAGTGTCTCGTAGGGCTCTAAGGCACCCAACTCTCACACTTCAGACGCATGCACCCGCTCGCAAAGAATCGCAGAAACATGCCCACGCCCCACCGCCCGCCATACTCACCGGCATGGCTTTCGAGGAGATGACACCCGGATAGCGTATGGACCGGAAGTCGACCCCGTATACCCGGGCGTAATACTTGCCCAGCAACTCCAGGTGGACCTGCTCTAGGAGCGCCACGTGTCAGCGATCCCAGCGACCCAAAAGAGCTCAATGAAGCTGTTTCCATCTGAACGGATCAAAGGTCAAGCGAATCGGTACAGTGATTCGTGCAACCATCGCCCATGCTCGAGCTAGTCCTGGCGTTTCGGTTCTTCGGTTCCACGGGTTATCATGGTCCTTCCGCTGAGAGTGTTTCCGCATTGTCCACCTCCGCTGCTTCCGAAGGCCTGTTCCGCTCTTTCGATGTCCTCTCTTTCGGAAGCATTCTCGATCTTCCATCCGAAAGCATTTCGAAGAGGTTCTTCCGTAGTTGCCAGCAGGGCCCCTTCGTTCTTGCTGTTCAAGACGCACTCCGGATCTTCCATCAGGAGCATTTTGAACACATTCATCCGTAATTGTCCGCAATATCTCCAGATCGGCCCCGCTCACTTTGGTGATCCCGTACATGGTGGTCGGCTCCATGACGGTCGTGTTGGGCGTCAAGTCCCGCGGCGTAGACGGCCCAAATACCGCGATCGTGCTCGGCGCAAACACCTGGAGCGAGTGCAGCCGCGCCAGCTCCAATACGTTCTGCGAGCACCATCAACCGGGGAAGCTTCACTCTTCAGTGAAGTGAAGAAATGTTTGTCGACTGCGGGGTTATGAAAAGGAGGAGTGTGGCTCGGATACAATATGCATATGTGCAGGCAGCTGAGGAGCCCAAAGTTTTTCGAAGCAAAGGGTCGCATGTGCAACAAGGTATTGCTGCAGCGATCTGCAATGAGGTTTGAAAGTTTGAACTTTGGGGTTCGGGATGCGAGAGAAGATTCGGACGTTGAAGACAATAGTGATCGACTTGGACTGCACCAGTACCTGTATCCCGTTTGTGTTGATCTTGAGCGCCAATTGAGGGTTCCGTTCACCAATGGCTGCGAAACGCACAAAAATCAACGTCCGCCTGTCAGTCAATTGGTGTCCTTCGTGTAGCAACGCCTCCAAAACGAGCTGCGCATTTTCGAGTATTTGAACGGAGACCACGCTTGACGAAAGCTTCTGCATCCAAGGGGGCCGTCGTGAGCGCACAAAAAGGCGTTCTTGTTAGAAACCAAAGCACAGCAGGAAAACAGATTGTAGGTAAAGATTAACGAATCGGTAACCGTAAGCTTACAACAAAGCAATGAGCAACTCTCAAAATGGGTAAGCGGGCGCTTTCACCAGACAAGAGGGACGCCAGATGCACGATGTAGTCGACCCCGTGCTCGAGGACGATGCGCGCCAGGCTGTCCGAATCCTGGACGTCCGCATATACAAACGGGCCCGCGTCAACAAACTCCCGCGAGCTGGTCTTGATGTCGGACGCAATGACCTCATCCCCACCAAACCTGCGCACGAAGGGTCTCTGTAAACTGGGGGCAAATATATGGCAAAAACGGCTAAGGTTTGTTCAGCTGGACCAGCCTGGAGGGAATCACAGAAAGCTGGTCGAGAGCAGCAGAAGGTAGGGGATTTGGGTTAAGGAACAAGAATTTTGTGGAGGGCTTGGGAGCTGCCAGTACTTACAAATCACTGCAAGTCCTCGCTCCACTCTTTTGAGAGTGATGCTTCCGTTGCTGATGATTGTATGCTGCTCAGATGATGGGTGGTCAAAATATCCGTCGATCTTTACTCAATTCTCAGCCCCTGTCGGACCGGGTCGAAGATCACAACTGCCTCAAAGAACATCTGCGAAGGACCTCATTGCATCAGCCATAGCTCAAACTACCTTAAGGATGTGAAATGAACTCTCTTTTTTCTTGGTGACTGAGCCAGAGCCTTTCAGAAAGGCGCCTGAGGGTCACTATGTGTGATCAGCAATCAAAGACTACGCGGGACGAGCGCTGACCTCGCTCGCAGGAACGGCACCAGCTCCATTCCGACCTGGCCGCACGCGCCGGTGACCAGAAACCTCGGGGGTCGAGGAGCCCCAGGCAAAGCGCCCGTGCGCATATAACTGCATCAGAAAAGCAGCTCATGATATGCAAACTTCATGTCCGATTCTGACGAGGCAGCTGCCACCTCAGCTTCTCAAAGGGCAGTCTCTTGATCAAGAAGCGGTCATGTTGAGCTGATTCTCAGTGCTGCTCAGATCTCAAGTCGTTGCTGGAACTGGGATGTTTTGGCAGCTGGCCAAGCAGAGCAGTGAAGCGATCAGACTGTATTGCAATGTGGAAGTTTTGCAGAGCTCATACCCGCCTCCCCCGGGCCTTTTCTTCCTGCCTGTCCCGTGTATCTCGCGCAGTTGTTGCAGACCGGCTGGCCAGGCTGGGCTGCACGGCCGAGCCAGGCCCAGCTGACTGCGACTCAGCAGCTTCGAAAGGAGGCCCCGAGCAGCCATAGCTCCAAACCCTAATTCAGCGTCAGTCTAGGCTTTGAGCCCGCGCAGCACCTGCAATAAGACCTCCCAAGATTGGCAGACCTGGACATTGACTGCGGCTGACGTACGGTAGTCAAGGGGCTGGAGCAGCGACCTCAAAATTGCTCTTAAGAACGGGCTTCTTGTAGGATTGGCAGCAATCGAAGTACCCACTCAAAGCTCAAACCGCTCTGAACCTTGACTGCACAGAACGGGAAGCCCTGCAAGTGTGGCACGAAAGGCATGGGCATTGATTGAAATGGACGCTGCTGCCGTTGCAGGACTTGAAGAGGTGGACACAACTGAAGCCCAGAACCATTTGGCATTTGATTTTGCCTTATCCAAAATTTCAATCAGTGCTGCCTTCTAAAACATATTCGAGCAATAAATTTCCGCCTTTCTGGAGCTTTTATGAAACCGTACGACCACGTACGACCCTCTTTTCGCAGCTGGCAAGGCGAATTGGTGAAACTGGCTAATCGAAGTCACTTCTGCAGTGTCCCCGCGTCGTATCTTCGACAATAAAGTTGATGGGTTCCAGAAAACCCCCTAACCCAATTCCTGTTGTGTACATCTGCTATGATAATTTTAATGGTAATTTGAAGTGGCGCTGATGAGAGGTTCGACTTTTAGGGTTTGAACTTTCGAGCGCGCGCGACCTCGAGCGCGGGCCTGCATGAGCTAGCGATGGTTCAGTTAACCCCATATGCAGGTTAGCGGAAAACTCTCCTGGAATCCAAAACTTTCATGCTTGCACAACAGTCAATGACAACACACACAATGCATGGCCGGATCGAACCTATTCATATCCAGGGCTAATAAGCGGCGGCTCTGCAGCTGTGCACCACTGCAAGAAAAGGCTGGCCAGCATGAAGCTCCGCTTGCGTCATTATCAGGGCGGTCCCACCCAGCGCCTGGACGTCGAGAGTGATTGCACCTTGCGCTCCCTGAGGGCCGTTGTGGCATCTTTAACCGGGCAAAGCCTTGAGACGGTGCGCATCTCGCTCAACAAGGTGGATGAGCTGGACGGACCTGGGAACCTTCTCGTCAGCAGCCTGGGCGTGTGCGGAGGAGACCTCTTGTATCTGCTCGATCCCAGGAGGCCCAATCAGGTGCAAGCATTGGCAAGCTCCGAGGCGGGTAGAAATGATGTAAGCCAGGCGTCGGCCGCTGCTCCTGTAGCAAATGACCGTAGCAGAGGGCTGCAGGCGGCATCTTCAACCGGGACCAGCGAGCCTGGAACAAGGACGGAAAGAAACGGTGTCGGGAAAGTGGATGTTGCGCAAGAGAGGCGAGAGCGGTGCGCCGCGGCCGCGGCAAAGAGGGTTGCGGGCCTGGCGGGAGACGGACCTGCGGATGCTCTTCCCCTTCCTCTTAAAGCCCCAGCAATGAATCCAACATCGATGGAAATCGATAATGCTACACCTGGGGCCACTGCAGAGCCCCCTGCCTCCGAAAACAGTGAACAAAGCTCGATCAGCACCGCTCCTCCTGTCCTCCAAGAAGTGGTCTCAACGTCCGCTTGGGCAGTGCACTCTGCGCACGACCTCCTGATTCTGGCCCTTCACGCTGTCATGCTCGAAACCGGATTCAGCTTGGTTCCAATCGGCGCACCTCTGGAGCAATGCTGGGAGCGGGTGGGGGGCCGGACAATTCTTCGCTACACGCTCGCAAACCGGGACGCAAACCCTACTCTGACCGCTATCTTGCGGAGCCAGCAACTAGGCGCGAACCTGCTGGTGTACGGGACCTACGACGGGGACGCTGGGGGCGCTGTATACCGCCTGAACCTAGCCCTCTCAGCGCAACTCCGGCCATTCCCCCCAGCAGGGGAGAGAAGCACCGCGGAGCTGCTCGCCCTCTTCAAAAACGCGCGGCAGCTGTTTGTCGAGGCCAAAGATGGGCTCTCGGTGCCGCTTCTGAGCCTCCTGTGCCAGCGCGCGGGCGTGTCACCGCCGGCTTCGCTCATCCTCCTCCCCTTTGATGCCAAGAACAACATCCTCGCAAAACTCTCGGCGCGCGACCTGGCGGCCGTCGCGGTGACCTGTTCGGAGCTTCGGGAGGCGGCGTCGGGCGACGACTTCTGGAGGGCCCTCTTTCAGAGGGAGTTTCCAAACGAGCGGCCTGCCGTGCGGGCAGGGATGTGGAAGGAGGCATTCCGCATGGCCTGGGTGGACCGCAAGCTGCAGCGCGAGAGGCGGCTGGAGTACGAGCGGCAGCTGCACGTGGGACGCAGGGAGTGGCGCGGTTTTCGCTACCAGCCCCCTGGGATGGTTGGTGAGTTCCGCCGTTGCAGTATTGAATGTCATTGTTCTTGGAAAATTTTGTGTTCCTATGGGGGCTTAACAAAGGTAACTGTGTATTGGTTTGTCTTTGAGACCTTGTTTGCTCCATCACGTCTCTGGCTTTTCGACTGTTGAACATAGACTTGGATGCTGACCTTGCCTTGACACTGGCTTCCTGAAGCAGGTCAGGTCGAACCATTCCGTGCTGCGACAAATGATGCAGCCGTATCCAGCAACGGATCTGCATTTAGCTGTACCCACCAACTGCTTTGCATCTATTATAGACGTCATTACATCACTCAATCAGCATAACATGGCTTTTCCTTAGCATAACATGGCTTTTCCTTACAGGAGGCGACTATGATCGGTTTCCCTTTGGTGGAGGTGCCGGCGTTCCCCCCGGAGGTTTCCCTGGGGGCTTAGGGGGCGGTCCGTTTGGCATCCCACAAGGAGGAGCCTTTCCGGGTGGCCATCTTGACGGAGGGTTTAGCCCCAGCTTAGGGCCGGATGCACTAGACTGGCCCCACGGAGGCCGAGCACGATTTGAAGCGGGGTTGGGACCGCAGGGGGGCGTCGGCATGCCTGGGATTCCGGGAAGTAACCTGCCCGGGTTCGGACCTGGCTTAAGAGGGGGGCCGCCCCGGGGCGGAAGACCGGGAAGAGGTGGCTTCTCCGGTTCGTCGATCATCTGAGTATCGTGATAGTTTTGTACATACAAGGGCAATCTGCAAGTCTGTAAATAGAAGGATGATACTTGAGAGCAAGTACGTAGAGTCCTTGTCATAAATCTCCGAGATCGATCTGCTCGGCTTTCATGACATTGCTGACATTCGTAGGTGCAATGAAACCATGTCGGATTCGTGGTTAAAAGGTGCCAACCGACATATCAATGGTTGCTATCTGCACTTCATTGTAAGCCGCCATGCCAGGCAGCTGAATGCTGAGTTGTCAATTACTTGATTCTGCTGTGCATGACAGTGGCGGCCCTTACAAACGCATGCCGACTCACTCTATATTAGATATGTCTCATGCATCATGCATGGATGCAACCATCGAGACTCGTTGGCTGGCAATCATATGTAAAAGCTGAGTTGTATGTAGTTGAGGGGCCGCCAGACGATCCATCATGCAACCCGGCTCGTGCAGGAAACACGATGCCGCAGGCCAAGTTCCTACAGACTTGTGTAGTAGCTGATGTGCCCAACACCCGAGCTGCGGTATAATGCAGACGTACACAGAAAGCGATAATCCAAGGAAAGGTACCAAGTGGTCTGGTTAGAAAAGCAGCAGCGAATTGACCCCGTCCAAGGAGAAGCTCCCAGACAGGCCCGCGTTGAACAAGTTCATGGTCTGTCTTCACAAAAGTAAGCCAGTAACCGGTCCAGTTGTAGCTAGCTCAAAAAACTAAGCAGTTGTAACCTACCCACCTTCCGAAAGCTACGAGTTTAAAATGTAAACTACCTCTCCAGCGGTTTTCCGAGCCCTGATCCGGCCCTTATTGCCCAGGCCTGTTGCTTTTCAGCACTCATGAAAGCATCATTCAGCCCGGCCTACGAACACACTGTGACGAGGCCTCCGTCGTAACGGCCCACAAACCTAGAGCGTTCTCGCTAACCAGTACGCTGTTTGCTGATCTCTCTCTATCTGGCAATGATCCCTCAAACACAGCCTGCGCGGCGAGCAAACCCGTCACCGACCGCTCGTCGCCATCTCCTTCTTCGCGGTCGACGGCAGCGCCTCGATCGTGCACTTCGGCCCGTACAACCACTGTCCAACGACCGTTGCAAAGAATGCGCCGCCGAAATCTGCTTCGGTGGTGATGCCCACAAGAGAAATGCCCGGGGCCACTGCGCTGGTCGCCCCCGCCGGTGCGACCTGCCACTCCTTGCTCAGCGCGACGGGGCGACCGGGGCTGTCGGGCACCTTGCTCTCGCTGATGGCGTACACGGGGAGGCCCGGGATGACGTCACGGACAACATCGATGGCTGCCGCGTCAGTCTGCGAGGAGCAAATGGAGCGTTGAGGGGGATGGGCAATCATCGAATGGAAGCTGTCCATCCTTCAAGGAGGACGCTGCCTGCGAAGTATCACGTAGCAGCAACTTGACCGTAGTCGAAAATCGGGCGAGTACGGTGTACAAGGTGTACAAGATTGCCATAGGGTAGAATTTTGACATGGGTTTCCATGCCGTTCTTCCCGGAAACTCGATCTGACAAACCGCCTCACCCCTTGATGGCTCATCTTTTGGGCCATCACTTATGTCACAGGTCAGTTTCGGGGTGCAAAAGAGAGACTCCATCGAAGCTGCTAGAAGAGTCGGCTCAAAAGGGGAGCACAGAAATCGGTGCCTACCTGTGGGCTCGAAACAATGATGACCGCCTTCAGCTTCTTCCCCACTGCCTTTGCGCGCAGGCCCTCAGCAGCCATTTCGGCCGCCAGCCGGGGAGAGCCAGTCGTAATCTGCAGGATAGAAGAAATGCTCATCAACAGCGGTCGATATTTTGGCGTGGGATAAGGTTAGTAAACACATCAAACCAAGGATTGAAAGGGGATCTTCGGGATTGACCTTAAAGCCCGCCGGACGTCAAGCCTCAATCAATAGCCTTTGCTTCAAACATGAGGAGTCGATCGCGTTGCCTCAAGGGACATATCATTTTCGCGCAAACTTCGCCTGCTGATGCACTCGTTTTGCTTCTACAGAAACAGCATTCGGCAGTGCTTGTCAGGATTGGTACAGCAGACAGTGGAAGAATACATGCAAGGCGTAGTTCATCGACCGCAGTATCTTGCATCAGAGCGCCCCATCTTTTAATGAGCTTCTCTTGAAGCACGCAGAGACAAACGCTGGATCTGGACCTTCCGTCAGCTTGCTATACGGCAACCAAATGTCAAGCGCTGACTTTCCCTCACCGAAAGAAACGTCACAGCTCGAAAGTGGTCTAAAACCAAAAGCTGCCTTTTTCTTTCTAGCTTCAAAACCGCCTCTGGACCCTCACCGTGGATCCGTTTGCCACCACCCGGCCCTGTGCCGAGAACAGCAGCACAGCCGCCCACTCCTTCTCCTTCTCCTCCCCCGCCCCATTCCCATCCGCCCCAGTGATCCCCCACGTGCAGATCCCCTGCAGGTTGCAGTCCGCCGGGAGCGTCGACCTCAGCGCAACCACCGCTTCCGCCGTGCTGCCCCAGGTGAAGTCCTCGCTTGCCAGACCAATGCGGCCCGAGCTGAGCGCAACAAAGGCGAGCGTCTGGTGCAGGGGTCCTAGGGATTGGGAGGCGGCGCGATACGCCCCCTGGAGAGCACGCGTGATCGTGGCTTCTTGGCAGAAGCTGGACCCGACGCCGAGCTGGCCGTCAGTGGGCTGCGGGGAGAAGGGAGAGGAGGTGTTGTGAGACAGTCTGTGGCCGATATGTTGCGGCCTGAAGACTGGAGACAGGGGATAGACGTATTCCTGAGAAGAAGGGCTCGACTCGGGGTTCGCCCAACACTTCGAGAATGTTGCCTTCAATCGACATCAGGTGCACAGCTCTATGTGAGTATCTTTTTGACAAGCAATTTGCAATGCTTCCTTGCGTCCTCACCTGTGGTTGCTTTTCCGCAATGTCCGTCGTCTCGAGAGGCACCAGCCCGTCCGGCAGGATGTCTGTCAGAGACACCGAGGTTTCGCTAGCAGCCTCGTCCTTGTGTGCGCTCACAACAGACTCCACTGCAGCAGCCCCGTTCTGCGCTTCCTTCTTGTCTTCAATGACCAGTGACGGGGTCACTTCTGCTTCTTCAATGACAGCCGACGCGATCACTTCCGGAACGGGCGCCTCCGCTGTATCTACAGTCACCGCTGAGGCGCTCGCTTCCGGTTTCACCAGCTCAGGCTGCTGCTTTTCTGCTTCACGCGTGACACTGGTCAAGACCACCATGGGGGCTTTGACTGCGCGCCCGTTTTCTCCTTCAGGCGCTGCCATAGGTGTGGGTGGATCGGCTGAAGCAGCTTCCGGCAAGCTGGGGGCTGGAAGCTCTGTGGGAGCAAGGGGGGCCGGGGTCGCTTCTGTCTCCGCCGCTGGAGTGCTGGCCACGATCGGATCCAGAGGAGTTGCGGTTGGTGACGAAACGGAAGGAGGGGGTGCTACAGCTTCCACAGGGGCAGGAGGGGGTGCTACAGCCGCCGGGGGTTGTGCCACACTTGCTTCGTCTGCGACCACAGGGTTTGCCGCAGCCTCTGCTGGGGGAGGGACCACCGGGGTTTCACCAGTGGGGCGGGGAGCGGCAACGGCAGCAATGATCTCAGCTGCTTGCAGGCTGTCCGTCTTGGTGTTGTCGACAGTGGAGGCAGCAAGCGGGGATGCGAACCCAGCGGCCGGAAGTGGGGGCTGTGTCTCCTCGACGGCAGCAAGCTTCTTCCCCTTCATGAGATCGTACGCGTAGGCTGCCGCTGCTGCTCCCAGAAGGGCGAGCCCCACCCCGATCGCCCAGCCTGTCTGCGGCTTGCGGGAAGGCACTGGGCAGGTGGGGGGGGGCGCCGGGCACACGCTTGCGACAATGGCCGCCTGCGGTTTGGAGTTGGCGGGGATGCGCAGCGTTTGCTGCGGGAGGATCGTGCTCTTGAAGTGCAGCTTGTTGAGCTTGACGAGCTCGGTCATGGACACGCCGTACCTCTCGGCGATAGTGAAGAGGCTGTCGCCTGACTGCACAACGTACTGCAGCTCTCCAGATGCTGTAATCGTGTCCAAGACCGCACCAGTCTCAGCAACGGCTGCAGGAGTGGACTGCGCCGGGACTTTGACTGGTTGACGAGGAGAGGCCTTGGAAGGAGGCGCTTTTCCTGCATAGAATGAAGCGCATCGTTATGCAGGCTCGTAACATACGGGCAAAAGAGTGTCAGCTTGCAGTGGACATCTAGACCAACTACCAAAGCAAGGCCGTCACTTGGTGTCAAGGACTGACAACAGCATACTCTTCTCAGACAACGAACCGTGCTCCAGACCTGAGCAACTGGCTGCACGTCAGCTGCTATGGTAAGCCGGATATGCTGCAGACCACTATTTGCATCTCCTCTTGGTGCCAATCTCATTCTGTTCACACAATTGCTTTCACCCTCAACATCGAACGAATGCACTGCGTTTGAATCGGAGGTCTAGTGACATACCCTTTGGTGGACAGATCCCTGGCACATCCATGCCCTTCGCCGCCCCTGCTGTTGCAACAGCCCTCAACTTTGGCACCACGATCGTCTGCTTCGGTCGCACATAGTCGAGGGCCACACCCGGATTGAGCTCGTGCAATGTCTTGAGGTCCGTTTCATAAAGCTGCGCAATCTTGGACATAACCTGACCCCTCTGGACAACGTGCATTTGCGTCTCAGGCTCTGCTGGTCGCCCTGCAGCCGCATTCTTGCCAAACGGCAGACTTAGGGCTGCCAATGGTGGGAATGTGGATTGGCCCAAGTCTGCGGTCATCACCACGCCCAGCTTTGCTCGGCGCTTCTGATGCCGCCAACCTGCGGCTGGAGAAGCCTCTAGTGAAGGGCCGATCCTGCACCGCTCTAGGGAGAGCAAGGTGAAACTTTCGGCAGCCTGAGATTTTAGGGTTCTGAGCTGGGGCCCAGTGCTGTGCAGACCCCCACATTTTGCTTGGCAGGCGACCGCAGAGGACGCCATTGGAAGGGAAGGATGGTGGATCTTACTAAAGTTTGACTCTGTTCACTCTTTGCAACAGAAATGTGCAGAGATCAAGATCCTACTCAAAGTGCAACGCGCCTGCAAGGTCCCAGCGCCCCAGCAATGTCCTAACCGATTCCCTGTGCTTTTACCATAGAACTTCGTGGTTCAAAGCTCTGCCACAACAGCGAGGCGGCACAACATTAGGTCTGGGTAGTCCAACCTTCAGACCTTCTCAAATGCAATGCAACAATGGGCCGTCCAGGGAGGATTGGGAAAGGACGCGGACGCTCCAGAACGTTGAATGGGGAAGGAGGCCTCAACTCGTGACTACCTATGCTCAGACTTCAATTTTCAATTTCAAGCTGCTCGCGTCTTCTTGATCGAACCTGCACGGTCTTCTTGAACCTGGCAGTGGCCCACATGGGACTTCAAGTTCCAGGGCCAGAAGTGGCCAGAAGTGGCCGGCAGGTGGACCGGTCAGGGTCCTCACAAATTCGACGCGCAGGCAGGTGGCCCTGGTTTGCTACTACTTTCTAAGTATGTAACTACCTAATACCCAGGTGGGTTTGTATGGTAACCGCTCCTCAATTGTGGGCGGCTGGTACGTGCACTGGTGCACCTACCGGTATGATGGACTGAAGACGGGAACCTGGAAACTGCCAGGGAAGCGTACGCGAACGTCGACGTTAAGACTGATGTGGCAGCCGCGCGCGCGTAATAATGGCGCTGCCTCGAGCTCGAACAGACGTTTTGCAGAGGCGCTATTCTGTACTAGTACTAGTAGCCTGTGGGAACCTAGC